TTATTAGTTTATTTTATAAATTTTTTAATAATAGGTATTTATACTTTAATTAGTAATAATACAAGTTCAAAATTTTATTTATCAAAAAGTAATAAATAAAAAATATAATATTAAAATCAATCAAAAATAATTTTTAGATATCAAAAAATAAAAATTAAAAATTAAAAATCTTTAATAAATGAGGTTTATATAAAAATATGATAATTTAAAATTAAAAATCTCAAAAATTAAGAAATTTCAGTCTATTAATGCTAGAATTACAATACAATGCAATAATGTTCTACAATTAGGTGCTTAAATTTAGAATTTTTTTGTAAAAAATAATTGAATTTTATAATATTTTATAATATTTTTTAGTTGACATAGTAAAATTATTTTATCAAAATGTATAAAATATTAATAATAGAATTTTAATCTTAAGAAAACAATCAAAATTTCAAATAACTAAAGAAATAAAATTCAAATCTAAATAAATTTTTGTTTCTATAAGTAATATATTAGGCTATTAAAATAAATATTTTTAAGAAAGAATTTGTGATCTAGCATATATTTTAACAATTTAGCATAGATAAATATCTTTATAATTTATAATCATTATCATTTTTTTTAAATATCAAATAAAACCACCTTTTGTTACCAAATTATTATTTATCATTATCAATTGGCATCTTCACAATAAAATAAGTTTTAATATTTATTTAGATTACAAGCAGATTCTAAGTTATTACACACACATCACATTACTATATACATATCCAAAAAGTATAGAGACATATGATTGATTGGATATTTTCATATGGACCTTGCTACTTGACACAACTGCGAGAAGTTAAAGAAGGCAACAGCCTCCACTTTGGTAGTTCCATTGACTAATGATATGTAATAATATTGCCATTAGGTGAAAGAAGAAAAGAAATATTTTATTACATAAGAGCTTAAATAAAATTATTTTAAAAATTATCTTTAAAATATATATATATATATATATATATATATAATAAAAAAAGAGGTAATAAAAATTAATAAGTGATAATATTGTATTATTTTAGAAGAGACTTGTATTTATTTTATAGGACATAAATGAGTCATATCAAAGTAAATGAGATAAATAATTATTATAAACATCTTTAAGAGGGATTTTAAAATAGTTTTTAACAAAAATTACCTCAAAACACTAAGAATTGATACTCAAGTAGGGCCAGTTGTGAACCAAGATTGAAATCAAATCTTGAGGCACAAAGTTATGCATCTATGGTAAATTTGGAATTTTTTGGTTGATTGAAGAATGAAATTTGAGAGCAAACTTATGAAAAGATTTTGAGGGTTGATTTCATGTGATTTGAAGATACATTGAGGTTTTAAGAGCTTTTCAAAGTAAGAAGTGTATTCAATGGATTTGGATTTTAAGAAATAAAAATAAAATAAAATAAAATAAAAAAATAATTAATTTAATGATTTTTTGAATGTTGTAGAATATTTATTGTTGAAAATATGTCAGTTTGTCATTCTATCTATTGTAAATGTGTATGAAAATTTTGATATCAATTGAGTAATTAGATTAAATATTGTGAGAGTTTTTGTGGATATTTCTCAAATAATTAAAATTTAGGGTCAGTGAAGGTTTTTGCAATCTTGCAACATCTGATAATTCAAATGAAGCAAAAATAGATGAGAGCAATTTAGACTAAAATACCTATATACTAGCTAATTTCTGGAACAATTGAATAATTTAGCAAGGAAAATTCTTTGTTAGAGATCAATATTCAAGTTGGAAAAGGAGAGCAATCAACATCCTAGAAATTTTGAGAGCTTTTCTTTTAATTGGTGAATTCAATTCTTTTCAAATTTTGTGTGATTCTTAATTGCTTGTGGATTAAAGTCTAGGTGAAATTATAGTTAAGATCAATAGTTTAATTAATATTTATTGATGTCTCAAAATAGCTATAATAATTAATTAAGATTATTTAAGAATTTCTTGAGATTAATATTGTATTATAATTATTTATAGTATATAAAAATTAACAAAAATATATAATATATTTATAAGTTTTGATGTGTATTAGAGTAGTTAGTAGGTTAATTTAAAGAGAGTTGATTTATAAAAAATTATTTTGAAATTTACCTATTTTTATTATAATGTTTAAATTATATAGGATTTAGATATTTAATATAAAATTTAAAGAGAAGATTGGGGCTCAAAGATAAAGATTCAAACCTCTAATAAACTCATTTGGAGGGATGAAAGCAAGGTATGGATGGATGAAGGCAAGAGGTGAAGATCTTCATTCTTATTGGTCAAAAGCCATGTCTAATAGGCTCTCAAGAGGCTATCTGTGATGATAATAAGGATTTTTGGTAACTTCAAAAAGGGCATTTGAGAATCAAAAGAAAGGGTTTTAAGGTTTAAGATTTGGAATACAAATTTTATACAAATTTTAGAAGATTTGGAATCAGGATGATGAAGTTATAGCTGTTTAAAATTAAGGTGTATTTTTAAGATATAATGTTGCTCTTTTAAAGATACAAATCTATTATAATAATAGATTTTGGAGATCGATGGATGTAATCCTAAGGGATTTCAAGACCTATGTCTTTTATAAAAGAATTTCTACATTTAGATTTTGTATGAAAGAGTTATAAAGTATTGAAGTCAGCACATATAATTCAAAGGCAATAAGTGAGTCATTTTGTTGATAGTAATGGTTGGAGCCATATCTTGAGTTTTTGAAGAATTTTTTGGCTCAAAATTTCCAAAATTGTATATTATTAGGTTAAGAAGTTATATATCATAATTTCATGGTATTTAAGTTTTTAATTCGTGACATATGAAGAAATTAGATATGTATAAGCAAGGGTTTGAAGCTACTATTAGAATTTTGGCAATATCTCAAGATTCGTAATGAATTTGTAGTTGAAATTTATTGTTGTAGTTGTTGAAAGTACATTTTTACTTCATGTAAAATTTTTGTTTTTTTGGATGGTCGAATAGTGAGATATGAGCTATTGAAGTTTGAAAAAAATTCACCTTAAAGATATATAAGGTTTTATAATATTTTTATCACATTTTGGATTATCTTTGGTACTTAGTGCTTATGTATTGATGTCCTTGCCCCTATAGAGACAATTTTATATATAAACTTGGTATCTTATTTATCTTGAGACTTTGTTGAGCAATTACTAACAGCCAAAAGTCCACCACTATCTTAAAGCAAATCCTCTTTACTTTGACATCAATCAATATGCAAGGTGAAGGAGCCTCTATGGATGCACCACTACTACAATATTTGAGGTTCTATAGCAATAAATGATCTTTGCTTGAAGACCACTAATTTCAAATAAATGGATTTCCTTCAATCCATATTTCTTAATTCAAGAGCCATGGTTCTACCAAAATAACTGTAGTAAAATAGTAAGCTATCAAGAGCATTGAAGTTAAAGAATTAAGCTCACTATTATGCTACAAACTCTTATATTTATGTTTTATTTGCATTGCCATATTTCACCTACTGGTCACTCTTATACGCTTGTGGAATTAAATTTAAAAGCTCAATACTATAAAAACCTCTTATTCATCTATTTGTAAAATTAGATCTCAATAATAATAACAAAAGATCTCTCTCATTTCTTGAATGAAATTTCATAATTCCTTTGCTGTGCAATTGCTACAAATTCTAAAATTGATGAAATTGCACCTCAAAATGAACTCCAACATTATTCAACAAACCTATCAGCAACTTTTAAAATCCTTGACTCATCTCTTCAACAAAAAAAATTGCAATTACATACCTATGCTCTTGATCCTTGCATTGAAATCTAACCATTCCTTTAATCGATGACTTGGAGGGAGAATTGTGCCATAGTAAGTTGGATTTTGCAAGAGAAATTGCAAAAAAAGAAGTAAAAAAAAAAAAATAAAAAAAAAAAAAAAATCTTTGAACCGCTGCCAATACAAAGAGTGAATTTCAAATTTTCTTTTGGGGGCTTTGCTTCCAAAGATCCCTGCAAGGGGTACTATCTCTTAACCCTACTCATTGACTGGTCAATGGGACCACCAAAGGAGGGATTGCTGCAAACCCCCCCCCTCCCCAACCCCAACCCCTTGCAGATGTGCAAGTAAAAAAAGAAGAAGCAGTGCTGTACTGTAGTAAAGCAAGTGACAGATATTATTGACTTAGCTGACTTGAAATCTACAGTGATCCCAAAAAAATCAACAAAGCAAGTGAATGGTTGAAAAACCAGTGAACGAAGGTGCTGATTCAAGCAAGGTTGATATGCTTTACATCATGCCTTTGGATTGGGCCCCAATGAACCACAGAAATGAAACCTGGGACTACTTAACAATGGGCTAGACCCCAGGGAACCACAGCAGTGACTACTTAATCACAACTCTGCTTACCACAATCTTAAACTGCTCTCAACCATGCCTATGATTATTATTATTATTATGATAACAATTTTACCCTCTATGATTGTTTGCCCTCATCACAGAAAAGACAAGCATCAATGCCACCCAAAAATCACAAACCCATCATACCCTACACATGCACAGCAACTCCAATATTACCACCTATGAAAGAGATGTCAACAATCCCTTTGCTGTTTGGCACTGCTACCCATTGCCTAACCCTCAAACTCATTTATACAAGAAAATTAGCTATTCCAAATTAATAACCATAGCTTAGATGGTCCCAAATTGATTGTTTCTGACCACCTAATCAATAATGATTCCTCTTGCCTGTCCTCATGGGGCATCAGGCTTCCAAAGCATCCAATGGCCTCTCATTCAACCATACTGATTCCCAAATGCTTCTTGATCTGATCATGATCTGAGGTCATTCTCTTGATCTGCCACCCCCAATTATTCTCTTTTCACGGGATTCTGAGAACATGATGAATCCATTTTCATTCATAGTAGCTTGAAAGGAAATAAGGTGCCAGCACAAGCACCAGAGAAAGGAATAAGAGAAAAGGGAGATAAAAGAAAAGAAGAAAAGAAGAAGTAAAATTAGAGGTTCTGATTCGCTAAGAAACAAAACTGCGAGCCAGAATCAAAATACGTTGATAAGGAAGGTCTCAGTTAATTTCATACGGATATTTAGACAAGATGATACATATAGTACATGCACAGTACCAACGTCTGCAGGACCATGCGTAAACTGGATGTCACTCGTTGACTCTACATCATTGGAGGAATAATATAACAGTCAGCTACGTCTACCAAGTGAGAAGTAGTGATCTTAGTTGTGTGGACCCCTGGGCAAAGTTGCATCTTTAACAGCAGATTGCAAGAGATCGTAGTTGATAGATGCTAGTTGCGACAAATTCTGTTACATCCGCATCAGATACATCAGTAAAGAACACCCATGGACCAAGTTACTTGCAGTATAAAAAGCATGAAAAAAACTTGCAGGATTGGAGGGTCAAATTAGTGCGAACCTTAAACGAGAAGTTGCTGAATGAAAACCTCGATGAGGGCGTAGCTTCAGACAATTCACGACCTTCATCTCGTCTTAGAGGACATGGAACATCGCTGACCTCCTGTTGTCCACATCAGAGGATGGGCAAACCATTAGATTTTGTTCAGTTGATACTCAAGGATGGTTGGCTGTATCATGGGAATGATTACACACAACGTCACTGCATTTGAACATGACCCCAGCAACACTTCAACCATATATCGAACTACTCCTAGCATACTATGTTTGGGGAACCTCGTGCTCAGATTTTTCGAAGAGGTAAACTTCAAATTTATTACTTACTGAGTCTTCCGGTCTTTCGGAGGAACTGGTGCTTCCTCCACTAACACTAGTCTCGCCGTCACTACTATCATAATTATAGTCAGCGAATAAGCGTGTTTCTGCCGAATCCCAACACTGACGAGATGTGAAGTAACTCGTGTCATGAACATTGTCCACACTTGGAACGAAAGCAGCCTGTCCCACAGAACAATTAAGGTTGAATAGTTGATATTGATGGGGCATACAAATGGTAATCGAAAGGACCATCTACAAACCTCAAGGACAAAAGAATGCAAATTAGGCCATCCTTCAGGGTGTTCTAACTAGAAGATTGGTAACACAGTGCACATTTCGAACAAGAACGATGCTGAAGCAAAGGCTGCTTACCTTCTGCATTGCCAACGTATCCCAGTTCAAACCTTTGAAGAAAGGGTGAGCTTTAACCTATATATTCAATAAAAAATCAGAATTCATCCCCTCATCTCAACATCTCACCAAGAAACATCCTAAAAAACAAAGTTCGTGACATAAACAGATCACCGAATGTAATAATAGAACTCTATTATTGAGAAGGCAGCATCTTGGAATCCCTCAGAGTGAAAGAGCCTGAGCAAAACAACCATAACCTACCTCAGCAGCACCCTTAGCTCCAAGCCGATAGTCAGGATCCTCTGTCAATAGCCTGCCATAAATAGACACCACAAGAAACTGAATCAATTTGGATAGAAAATTATTACAGCCATGACTTTGATGTAAGTAATCAATTTATCATCCCAAAAGAGTATTTATCGGTAGAGTCATTAGTGGAGAACTAGACTAGAACATTCATAAATATCCAGATAGTTAGGAATTGTAAAAGAAAGAAAATGGTAAATACGTCTCAACAAAACTCCTCTTTTGAATAACTATGCACTGATTAATATGTGAAGTACTATGTGGACATGCATCTGAAAACTGTAAAGCAAATACTTGAAGACTTAGAAATGCCAGAAAGACGCCAAAACTAAAAGGTACCTATCAATAAAATCCTGAGCCTCATACGACATTTCCTCGGGAACGTAAGGCCACGGTATATTACGATTCAAGATATTGTCAAAAATGATCTGAATCAAACACGAAAAGACAAAAAAACACGGTACTGTTAGAGAATTGTTAATGGTTAAAGACTTGAGGTCAATAAAGACTTACAGAACAATGCATCATGATCAAGGATTCGTCTACAAGCAGTCGCAAACCCAACATAAGTCTCGATAGCAATCCCGTGACACCTCAAAAGAGAATGTGACAAGCATATTGCATCAAAAAGTTGGAGCGAAATGAATAAGAGGATTACAAACGAACTTCAAATACTCAAGCTCAGAACAGTCGTAACAGAAAATATGGAAAACAGCATACTTGCTGACAGTAAACTTCGGTTTTCGTTCACTTTTCATGCAATCAGATTAGATTAATAACCTAGATATGTAGGAAAACTAAAAGAATTACAAAACTGATAAAAGTACCTCTGGATGCTCCGCATTGAAGGGAGGCACTCCAGTAAGCATTTCAAACAAAATCACTCCAGTGGACCACCAATCAGCAGCAGGTCCTGCACGAATGAACAAGCTAGCATATAAGATACGTACTCTAAAATACAAAACCTTTTTTGGGAACCATGCTACAGAGAAGAACAGCAAGGTAGGTATTGTGATGCAAATGGGTCATAAAAGAGCTCATGCAAAATCATTCCACAATAACTTAACCACTACCAATTTCAAGCATCGCTTCTAAACTCATACTCATGGATTACCATGAGAGTTTCCAAGAAGAATTTCTGGAGCTAGATAGTCAGGTGTGCCAACTGCAGATCGCTGTTGACGCCTCTCCCTCTGCTGCGGCAGCTCTCCACTAGGTATTCTATGATGCTTGGTAATTTCTTCCATTAACGCGGCTCCACCTACTGCAGGACCTGAAAGGTCATCGGTACTGTTGATAAGACCAACTTTTGATAAACCAAAATCTGTAAGCTGCGAAACAGAACCTCATGTGTCAATGCTCACTTCAATTTCTTGGTTAATGCGGACACAAGGAGCATCATGAATTTATGCAAAAGACAGAAACACGAAAATCAACCATAAAAATCAAATAAATCAACGACTCATTCCCTGCACTAGAGGTACCTTAATATGCCCATCATGAGCAATGAGAAGATTATCTGGTTTTAAATCACGATGGACAATACCCAGACCATGAAGATACTCTAGCGCCAGCACCTGTTGAAACTCACACGGATGAATCTTTTTTCTCTGACAAAAATTGGCAACTTGCAGCTTCCCAGGGATTAATATTAAATATGTCGAAATCACTGAACATCTAGTAAATCCAACATGATCAACATTGACAGGTCAAACCATATTGGTCATATGAAGTCAACAGCTTATTAAATCCTCCAGCATACAAGATTGTGAAGGTTATGTGGGAATTTACGAGTTCTGCAATGTAAACACGGGACGCCTCTTCTCCTAAACAAGTCAAATTCCGCAGCAAAGAGAACAAATCTCCCCCGTTAAGATACTCCATTACCAGATACAAATTTTCAGTGCATGTGAACGAGTAAAAAAACCGCACCTGTTAAACAGATCAGAAAAACAAAAAGTACTGTGTTAAAATGACCACAAGTTAACAGCATGAAACACGAAGAGCAGGGAACAGAAAACGATCAATGTTGTGAAATGCACAAGAGATATAGAAGGAAAGTATGCTTTACCACGAACGGATTTCGCACGGAAATCAGAATATTCCGCTCTGCCTTGACACTCTCTACTGCGTTTTTTCGGATCATATCTGCTTTTCGAAGGACCTATTTATGAAGACAATCATCAGATGATACTGACCTTACGACCTACAGATGGCGAAGTAACCAAAAAAGAAAATAAAAAAAGAAGTTCAAAATGGCATAACGAGCCGAACAATGATAGACATGCTCTAGCGACCCTTTAAAATTATTTAACATCGAAACATAAAATAGAAAATAGAAAATAGAAAATAACGAAGAAGAAGCAATACACCAACGGAACATGGCACTCTTAGAGTAACCTCACTGAAAGAAACACGTCACAAAAGGGGTTAAGGGAGGCAACCACTTAATCAAAATAGACATTTCACCTTGATCGCAAAAAGATCACCCGTGATCCGTTTTCTTGCCAGAAATACTCTACCAAATGCTCCTCTACTGATAGGCTTGATGATCTCAAAGTCATGAATAGTTGTTCGATCCTTGTATGTTGGGTGCACGGGCGTATTCTTCGAGGAGTGCGAACCCTCTTCATCCAACGAAAGGCTTCCTTCTGCTGAGTTCACTAAACTTTCAGGAACATATTTCCCTGAAGCCTCTAGAATTAGCTGATATTTTTCTCTGCAAACAAATTATATACGTCGATACTTAGGATCTCTTGACTCTAGCCTACACTTACAGGAATACTTACGTTAACGTGATCTCCACAGGCCACACCAGCTAAATCGAGTCTTCATTTTGTTGGCATGGGCAGTCTTTTACATCAAATTAATCACAGATCGCTAATGATATTCATGTTATTCAAGATCCGACCTCTTGCAAGAAAATTCAATTGAATAGGGCCAACCTGCAAAGCTTGTCAATTCGTCTACCAAAAGTGTCAACAGTAAGGGCATCAACTGTATTCTGCTGCAGCACGTCCTTCAGATCCTCCATGCATAAGACGATGAATTCAGCAGCCTTAGGGTGACTCTCGTTGGTGTCAGCAATGCATAAAGCAATATCAACCAACTCGTTGATCTGCAATTCAAAGAACGTCAGTGATAACTCTGCCCATTCATTGGCTTCCACATCAGGTAGTTCTTGAGGCAATATTCTAATTACACAACCAATAAAACCACCATAAACACATCCGTAGACAAACAAATATCCAAGAATACCTCATTAGCATTCTAAAATGTATAAAAATATATCCAAAATAGCAAGCACCAGTAACCAAGGTAGAAGTGCAAGAAACCTGTTGAAGGTCTTCTAATTCTGCGAAACTATTCCTGTCAGCCAACAATGAGTCGATCTGGCTGTTCTTGGGCGTGGCGAGAGGAGATCGCGGCGTTAAGCTACCCACTGACGATGAAGGGGCAAGTTGGCTCCCCACCGAAGAAGGAAGAGCTGCAACTGTATCAACCTTGGGTCCAAACCGGGACTTACAAGCAATAGAATTAAAAATTCTGGGCTCATCTAAAATACTGGCAGTATCAATCTCATGTAGGTCCTCTAGCATGTCCTCGGATACCCTACGAAGCAATTCACCACCTCCACGTTCATGCATTCCAGGCTTTTCTGACGCAAGCTTATCTGTCGAGCAATTGTCTGCAAAGATGCCGGGAAAAGCAGTGTATATGAGCTCGTTTGTAGTTCAGAAAGAGCTTCGTGAAGAATGACATACCCATTCTGAAGCACTGAGAATTTCAACAAGGGCTCCCAAAAAGTCGTGTATCTGAATTTGTCGAAATTTTGACCAACAAAACAACTTCATTCCAGGATGTAGATATTCATCATGGGATCATCGAACCCATTAAGAACACCAACAATCAGGCCCGGAAAATAATTTTCAAAGAAAAGGATTACCATACCATTATCAACACCGTAAATTGGCGTTTTCTTTGTATCTGGGCTAACACTGGCAACCACAGCAGAGCTCGTTGGAGTGTACGATTCCACAATGCGTTCAAGGGTTCCAGCTAACCTTTTCAACCGTTCATCAATCCCCATTCCTTTATGATCACATCGATCAGCAAAAGCACACACTCGAGAATGCTCTTCCAAATGTACCGTGGGAACCTCTTCTTCACATATTCTACAAATAACAATCGGCGTATCATCTCCCCAATGGCGCTTCACTGGGGTCGGTTGCAAGGATCCAGCTGGCTGTGTCCTTTCCTTCGTCGATGGAGCAACTTGAGGTGATGGCTTTTCGGGGCTTGATTGATTTTCTGATCCAGTCTTCTCCTTCTCAAAATTCTTCCAAGATGTAGGTCTCTCAACAAAAACTGCATCCGGCTTGTCCGTGGTGTCAACCTTGACATCCGAAGATCTCAGACTTGATAACTCACCCTTCAACTCCGATTCCTTGATTGATTCAAGAGCTGGCTTAGGAGTGCTTTCATCTTGAGTCCACCTGGCCGTGGGTACGTCATTGGGTCGGAAATGATCTTGTGAAGAAGGTTTACTTTTCACTGGTTCACTTGCGGTTACTTTCTGATTGTCCACTGGGTGCCAAAATTTCTCGACCTTCTGTAATCTGAGAAGATCTAATTCTAGGAAGTTTCGTTTCTGATACTGCAATAAACGCGTGCAGCGTGTGAGAATGAAGAGCATCTTAGTATGTAGTTGCTTGAGAGTTCCCATAGAGAGTTCTTGTCTCTTTTCGTCTAAATCGTGCACGATTCCTTCGCAGTTTTTTCGGAATTCCTGGGAATCCATCATCGCACATTCTTTTGCTAATATCAGCAAATCTTCTGCTCTTTCTTTCCAGACTGAAGTAGCATCAGCATTCTTCTCAAGTGCCTCAACAACATCACCAGCAAAGACCGCAAGCTCAGCATTGACCTCCTCCTTTGCAGTGTTAAATCTTGCTTTCAACGTTCGCACAAACTCCTGTAAATGAAGCTGGTCAATGAGGAAGATACTTCATGTAATGACAGCTTCTAAATTAAAGCGACTCAGAAATCAAGTGCTCAATCATCAGCTGTGAGTCCCATCAAAACATTTGCAACAAACTTATGCTGCCTTAGAATTCAAATCAAAGTATTTATCATCTCTGTTTCATAAAAAAGCGGATACAATTGTGGGTGACTTATCTTTCACCCACTACCAGTTGGAAAAATCAGGTTTTTGTGGGGACAGGAATAGAGGAAATTTTTGGATGGGTTAATGTTAAACATTATAAAAAGCCAAGAAAATCAATTCAAAAATAACAGATACGAGCAAAACGACATGTTGTAATACAGATTGCTGCGGAAAAGGAGAGTACCTCCAAATCATTAAACCCGCCGAAATTTTGAGGCCGAAAGAATTCATGCGAGCGAAGTCCACGAGGATCTAACTCATGAGAGAAGCTTTTGATATCAGTAGGTCGCTTGCCATTGGTTTTGGTCATCCTCAAAAGTGCTTTAAATCGAGGCGATTCTGTTGGACTCTGAACAAAACACTCACCGTCATCCTTACAAGAGGTAAAATATTATCTGATCAAAAGGTGTAGAACCCAAAATAATGTCGGAATCAAAATCGCTTACGGATTTGTACCATGTTTCTTAAACAAAAAAATCATAAGCGAACTTCGAACCTTCACCTGCAAGAATACAACTGCAAACTAATAATATTTTAAGTTTTTCATAATAATAAAAAGCAATAGCAAATTGAATATACCTCAGCTTCATCATCCTCTACAGCTTGGTGGGAAACATTCTTATCTGCGGACAACCCAGAACACCAGGTTACCAAGGACGAGTTCAGGTGATTCTCAAACTATTCAGGGACTAAATTGGAGGACCGTGATTTAAATCTAGAGGATAATAATATGATTCTCAGGCTATCACACATATGTTGAGGTGATGATTAAAGGTATACTCCTTATACATTTGCTACTTTTCACTCCCTCCTGAATCAACTCCGTACACCCCAAGTGTAAATTGTAAACCTCGAAAACATGCAATTAAAAAAACAAAAACGAAAACAAATTCCTGAGTGGCTACAGTAGCTACTCCGACGCCCGTGAACAATCAGGAAAGTTCACACAGTCTTACCTTGAGGAAACGCATGTGATTCATGCAAACTGCCGGATACCCCTCCATCATATGAGCACTGACCTACCGAGGAGCTCGCCTGGCCATCACCCCAATTGCTCACAAATGGATTCGCTCTATGAGGGACACTACAATCACCACGACCTGATCCATTTATACGCCCACCAGCGTCGCAAATTCTTGAACTCCTTTGTAGTTTCTTCACATTCGAACACCCAGGACTAGCATCTGATCGAGGACTTACTTCCATCTCTGAAGCATCAGTATGCATCAAAAGTGTCCCTCTGTTGACCTTGCTGCCACCCTCGACAGTAGAGGAATCTTTGGGAGAAACCGAATCCCGTGCATGCACCTTGGAGGCTTTGCGCACTCCTGACAAAAGTCTAGTCGATGACTCTCCTTTGGACCAAATATTTACTGCTTTCTCCTGTTCCCGTCGAGCCTCATTCTCCGTATCAAAACGGCTTTGGAAGGTTCCTGCGTAAACAGGGCCAGAGCGAGTGCTGGGAGGGAAAAGAAGAGGACCTGATCGCGTCTTGATGCGTTGGAGACCTAGAAGAGACGTAGCAAGACGAAAATCCTCGTCCGGAATTGGAGCAGAAATTGTCATTTCCAATTTTTCGTCGATTTCACCCTTCCCAGAAGTTAAACCTTTCTTGCTTTTCTCCTTACTTTCTTTCACCCTGTCTTTCCATTTCTCTTTCTCCTTCGCTTCTTTGCCAGATTTTTCTTTTCCTTCTTTAGCAGGCTTTTCTTCAATGGCATCACCTTTGACCCAGCTAGGCAAACTGCTTGCATTCCGTCTTCCACCCTTAACGCTACTCCCAGCATCGTCCTCGTTCTTCTTCTTCTTATTTGCTGAATCCTTACTTGCAATGAGCCCTCCAGCTACCCTGCCAAATGGTCCCATATGGCCAGCCTGATAAACTCCTGAATGTCAACTCAAGGGCGTCTTTCAAAGTATACAGATAATTTTGATCAAAAAGTCCCGAAGTATATGTCACCTTATTCGCATTGCACATTTAATCAATCAGATTTAGGTATCTCACTGTTCTATGACTTTATCGATTTTAGACTCAAAATCCCCACTTCACGCTTCATAGTCGGAAGATACTTCAAGTTTGAATTGTCCTTCATTGTTATTATCCTTTCCGGAGCAATTTGGGAGGAATCTCCTTCTATTGATTATTGCCACGCATATAATGCATCCCCAGTGGCAGCTTCTCGCCAACGTAGCAGCTTAGCATGTGAGTTAATAGTACAGGAATCTCAATGTTTGAGTCAGTAACTCTCAGGTCGACGATTCGAGCTGCACCTAAACTCTTCGTTCCTTTCCTCGCAAAACCTCTAATACCTGCCACTAACCTTGCCTACCAGACAACTTCATAATTGCTGAAGAAACACCTTCTAGAATTCAATATTGAGGGCTTCCTGTGGCACCATGTGGGTAGGAGAAGATCACAGTGGCCAACCAATAGCTGATACTGATAATCAGCTGGTGCACACGAGTGAATCGAACTGACAGCGCCAAGTTCAAGATTACTTTCCATCCAAAGCAGTGACTTAGAACTCCCTCGAGATGAGCGATGAAAGTCAATAACCTTGCTAGCCTTGACGCATGAGTAGAATGTCCCTCCAGGCTCTAAGACAAGATCTCAGAGCGGTTCGGCGAAAACATTCCGGTGCCAACTCTAACTTTCATTTCAAAAAGGATCTGTAATAAAAGAAGCAAATCTGGTCCTTATCAGTTCCCGACTTCACTCGTTCTCAACAACCAACAGCTCAATTAAGACACACGATGTTCTGAAGCAGTTGCCTCGATGGAGCTCAGAGGTTTGATTCAAAGGGAAAACCACCAAAAGTGAACATCTTATTACCTCCACCACAATACTCCCCGCATCAAAGGCTCCCTCCCCACTCCACATTCCTGCACTGCCGCCTCACGCTGCAACTTCCTCCACTGCAACCGCACGTACACACCACCATACCGTCCCATTCACGTAGCATTGATCCCGCCCCTTTGCTCATCATCATCATCACCTTCTCATACCCTCGCCGATCTAGATCCTTCCACCATCTCTCGCTTTCTCTCTCTCTCTCTCTCGCTCGCTCTCTCTCTCTCTCTCTCTCGCTCGCTCTCTCTCTCTCTCTCTCTCTCTCTTAATCCCGCTCGTATCTCACCAGCTCCAAACGCAAGCACAAACACGCGGACGACGTAATGCTCCAACCACCGCGACTAATCAAACCCTAGCTCCAAAAACCTCCCGCTTCGAAATTGCCCGTCCTAGCTCGTCCTCCCACCTCCACCAACGCTGTAACCCGTCCTCAAAGTCCATACCCTCCCTCGGCACTCACTCCTTGTGCCAGCCAGCCAACTCCCAGCTCAGCCGCTTACCTCCACGCCCGTGTTGTTTCTACCATCAGCAGAGGATCTCGGTTGGAGCGAACAAGCCCCTGTCGCACACACAACACCACCACACACACGCCGCGACCAGCCGGATTGAGTGCGAGCCAGTGACGAAGCAAATACCACCAAATCACGGGAGCTCGACGCGATTCCGGTGTCGTCAGTCCCTTCCTCCTCCTCGCTTACTCTCTCTCTCTCTCTCTCTCTCTCTCTCTCAGTTCGTCCTACTGCGCTTTGCCATCGCCACATGAAGGGCAGCAAATTGCGCTGCGGTCATGGCCTCTTCAACTCTGACACCATCGCCCTTGCTTGCTTGCTTCGTCCCCTTCCTCGCCGAGGTCGTCACTCCAGCCAGGGGATCCGTGTCGGATGGGGGGGTGGTGGATGAATAAATGGTATCCTACATTAATGGCTGGGTGGATGTGCCCCCCCCCATGTTGGGGCCATTCAACTGTGGGGCTGGTCGCCCTAATAAAGAGCCCCCCCCCTCGTATCTAGAAAGTCAGAGCGCTCTAGGATCAATGACACACAACATCATCAGCACATCTGGTATCCGAATATATACCCCCCCCCCTTCTCTCTCATTGATTTCGCTACCTTTTTCCCCAATTCCCAACTACTTTTAGGGTTATCGTTTAATTTCTTTCTTGCTTTCTTGCTTTTCATGTCTACTTCTTTTTTTTCTTTTTCTTTTTTTTGTTTGCTTAAGTGTGTATTGGTTTGCTCCGTTACACTATCTTCGCTAGAGTTTACACTCTACCACCAACACACTAACAACAATTTTTCAATAAAAATTGAAATGGGTATAGATTTGGTTGGATGTTACATGCCTCTCAATGAATATTCTACTTACAAGCTCAAAACAACAACAACAATTTTTAAGCAATTGAATTAATATTGTTGGGAATGTGTGGACTTGATGATGTGGTTTTATAATGCTAAAAATCCACCTTTGAACAAGGAATTTTGATTCGTCCTTTTCTGAGGAAGAGGTTTTAAGTTGAAATAGTTTGAATCCGTCAATTGTAGCCATATTAGACAACAAACATATTTCATAGGCATTAGTACATTGACAGTAGTAAATTCATGATGTTTTTCATTGAAGATGTTTTCCAACAATTTCAATTGTGTTTTTTAATCTCTACCCTAATTTTAGTCTATTGTGTATATTTATTGTCTATGATATAATGAATAAGTATATATATATATATATATATATATTAGAGAGGAATATAGCATGGTGCAGCAATCCTTTTTGTTCTATATTCTTCTTTCTATTACTTCTCCTTGTTTTTATTCCTAACTTCTTATTCCATCAAAGCTATGGTATTTCTTTTAATGGTTGTAATAGTAAATGATGAATCATAATTGTGGTTAGTATATGTGGTTTGAAAGAGAGAAACGAAATAAATAAAAAAATGCATATAGTCGGTCACTTTAAAATCATTAATATCTCCACATGCTAAAATTATAATTATAGCCTTTACAAATTTCAAAATGATTTCCAGTTATATAACTTGATTTTGAAAAACCTTGACAGTTCGTTTTGAGAATTTCTTATTACAATGTTAAACCAGCTACATTCTTCATGCAGTGATCAACAGAATAGCTTAGTTGTTATTGTAAATTGTATGGAATAAAATAATCAAGTTTGATGAAATTTTTGCTTTTTACCAAAAATTCTCTTGTAAATGGTACTTTATACCCCAAATTGACTTTGAGCACAAAATTGTTCTTATAAGTTTAATTGCAAAGAAAAAGAAATCCATTATATTGCCAATTTTGTGAAAGAATAAATCAACCGAAACAATTGAGGATGTTGAAATTTCCTATCATGAAAAGAGTGGCTGATGGGAAATTTCAACATCCAAATCATGACCTTGAATTATCATATTTCTGCACAAGTTTAAAAATCCTGCAGAGAGTGCACTTTTATAGTAATGAAGGATCTATCCAAACACCGCTTAGCATGTGCCACATGATTTTTCTTTTTTTGAAGCATTCTGTACCTTTTCAGTCAAACAAGAGGGTTATAGAAAAAAATGCAGTTTATTTTACAAAAAATTAATGTTTACAGCTAGACCAACATGTGAGCTTCTTGTAAATTATACGTGTATTTCTTTAGTTTAATTATTTACTTAATTCATTCTAATTTCATGCTGATTCATCATGAATTTTTTTGCTGTTTTCCATATAAACTACAAAGATTTATTTTATCTTTGAATTTTAAACTTTATTGATTACATTCAATTCACAAAAACATTTATACAACTAATACAACCAAAGATAAATTGATTTAATTAACTAAGAGTGGAACTTTGTGGGAATGAGACTCATGTTTTACTTTAAGGATTGAAGTAAACAGTTTGTATTTATAAAAAGACTCTAAAGTAACAGAATATTCAAGACAAGTAAAATATCAATATAGAAATATATGTAACTTTTTTCAAACAGGTTTTTCCACAGTATGAAAATAATCAATATTACTGCTACATTAAAACTGGATTTGTTGAACTTTGACATTAATTTTGAAAATACTTGTGCAATTAAATGATTATGTGATTTTATAACAAAAAGGTTATCTTCATGATAGAATGTGTGGCATTCTATTAACGCATTGATTTCTATTTTTGTAAAAGTTTGGCAATATTACTTATATGGTATACTGATACTTTTGATACATTATTCATCAAAATTTTATTAATATTATTTTCTTTTTAATATGTTTTGATCATAAAATGCTTTGTTGCATAGACATTAAACTCATAAGATTATTGGTATATTTTTGCTGGGATTAAGTTCAACTACAAGTGCAACATGGTTTTTTTAGAACATTCTTTGATTTTAGAGAAGCATAGTGTAAAGAGATGCAACTAAAATAAAATCAATTATATTGTGCTTGAGCAATATTATTAGATAAATCATTTATTATCATATTAAGTATTTTTGATTATATATTTTTTAACATATTTACATCTTCAAGCATCATAAAAATAAGCCACTAATCAAAGTTATAGCTCTTACAAGAGGCATTATCTAAACTATATTTTTTTAATCATATTTCTATTAATATATGATAATTATGTTAGATTTTTTTTATTTTTATTTTTTATTTTTTTGTTTGTTTTTTTGAGGCACCAACCTTTTTTATTACATTTGTAAAATTCCTAAATGATTTTCTAGTGAATTCACTAATATTATATTTGCTCAAATGTATAAGATATTTCAACCAATGTTAGAGTTGCCTTGAGTCTAAAATCTCTTCTACTTTGAACTCTTAAATGTTATTCACTTCTATAAAAGAATGTGCCAATAATCTTCTTTTGGATATATCTATTGCCTTCTATGGCTCTAAAAGAAACATATAAAAAATAAGATAAATCTTTATAGATTTTGGTAGATGTAATTAATATAGAATTAAATTAAGTTCTTCACAAAGAAGAAATGATCACAGTGTCAATAATCCAATTTATTATAAAGAAAAATAGTTTTGATAATAAAAAAATAGTTCTTTCTTTGCAATAGACATTTGCATTGATTTTTTTTTTTTTTTTTTTTTTTTTTTTTCCTAAGCTTCATTTAATTGTGTTTTAACTATTGTATGTAATTCTATTAATTAATTTGCCAAATATTTGGCCTAAGATCAATTTTTAAAAAAAATATTAAATTATAAATTATAACTATAATTAGCTTTAAAAATGATTATTGAATAGAAGAATGTATTATATAATTATAGACAAATCTTGCCAATGGCAAAATAATTGTCCAATTATCTTGATGATAGTTGATTATACATTTCAAATAGTGAGCCAATACTTAATTTACTTGCTTTGTTTGCCTATCAATTTAAAGGTAGAAGATCAAAAATAATTTTATTGATATTTTTAATAACTTAAAACAATTTTTTCAAAACCTATATATAAATAAGATCCTTCTATCTAATATAAGATCTCTTTTGGTGGTCTATGATAGCAATACATGTTGTCAAAAAAAACTTTATTTATTTATTCACATGTAATAATTTTTGTACATAGTACAAAATATGCCATTTTTATGAAGCAATCTACTATGAAAAAATATAGAATTATAAGAGCTTGAGCTTGAACTTAGAATAGAATGATGTTGTAATATATGAAGTCTTGCTTGAGAATGCTCCAAACACATGGCTAAAGAAGGTAAAATAGAAATTACAACAACAAAATCCTAACTCCAATAGAACACTAATTAAACTCTAATTAGACCATAATAATGCTAAACAAGCTTTAATCAATTCAAAAAAATCTTAAAAGAATTACAAAAAAATAATAAGAAATCTTAAAAAAAATTATTAGAATGATTACAAATATATCTCAAATATATCTCAAATATATCTCAATCCAATCTTAATTTAATCTTGGTTAAAATCCTATTGGACTTTAATCAAACTTTAGGCCAAAAACTAACTAAATCTTAAATCCTTAACAAATCCTAAACAAATCCTAATCCTTAAATCAATTCCTAACCAAATCCTAATCTTAATTCAAATCTTAACCAAATCCTAAATCCTAAACCAAACCCTAACCAAATCTTAAACCAAACTCTAACCAAATCCTAACCAAACCTAACCAATCTCAAGTAATTTCTACAATAGATTTAAACCTCAATAACTAATGAATGAGCCATTGATTTTAACTCAAAATTTACATACATCTTAACAATTAAATTGAAAAAAAGTATAAAAAAAATTGAAAAGGATTGAAATTACGAAATAGATGATAACCTCAAAAACATGCTTGGGTATTGGCCGGCCTCCTTCTCTAACCTTGATGCCAATCTTCTAGAGCCAATATCTCTCATTTTTTCCATTCGATTGATTTCAAAATTCTCATATATGTAGAAAAACATGTCTACTATCTTTATATATAAATTTCATTCTAATTCAACTAGTATATTGTAAGAAATCTTAAAAATCCTCACTAGACCTAAAATTCTACTTTCTAAGTCCTTAACCCACTTAAACCTCAATAACCCTCAATTCAACTATTAGATCAAGCTAAAATTTATAATACATATTAAGCACAACTATAACCATTAATCCAAAAAATTTCACCTCTAGATCTATTACAAAACTCTCAAAATCATCCAAAACGTCAGTCCTATATTACTTCACAAAAAACCAAGTCATCTGAAACAAATTTGACTTTGTAAAGTCCTTACAAAGTCATTACAAATCCAAATCACACAAATCTAATGCTTATAGAAACCTTATTCAATCTGCTATCAAATTCTACTCTTGGATCTGCAAAAGAACACTCGAATCATCATCAGGACTCGGTTTTGTGTATTGGGATCTGTTTTCAATCCAGGTTCATAATTGGCCCTCTTCAGGTAT